TTTTCTCTATGATCTAAATTTATCCAAACTCAGAAACAATCGATATACGAAATAGTCTATTTCGTCATAAGATACAATGAATCAATACGGAGTAAACTTCGAAATTCTTATTTATATCTTTTACGTCGATTTCTTTCCATAAATATACGCATTGATGACATTCTACTACTCAGTATAGAACTTTCCATAGAATCGAATGATTCATTTTCATCCCCCACATAGAATAACCGCAAGTTAAATATAGCAAAACCAACGCATATTTCCTCCTATATATAAGAACGAAAGAAAACACACGATACTCATATACAAAACATTCATACACAAACCAGAAGATGTCGTTTAGTTACTATCTCGTAAGTATATCATCGAGAACATCTTCAATCATACTAATCCAATTATTTTAATGTTAGTCGATTTTATTCGTTTTACTATTGGTCAGTGAGAAAAGTTATTCGAAAGCGATTCTACCGTCGAATCAACTAAATTCAAAGAGCAAATGGACGCAAAATGGTGTGACAATTGCAGGTGGAAATCAATTCGGAAATGCATTGAATCAATTGTATGATCCAACGGGAATTTCCATTGACGATGATAATCAAACAATATACATTGCAGACTCCGGAAATGATCGAGTTCTTCAGTGGAAAGTAGGTGAGAAACAAGGTCGAATAATCGCAGGTGGAAACGGACGAGGCAACGGCATAAATCAGCTCGATTGGCCAACTGATGTTATTGTTGAGAAGGAAACAAATTCGATTCTTATTTGTGATTTAAACAATCGACGTGTTGTCCGCTGGTCACTCGAAAATCAAGCATATGGACAAATAGTTATACCTGATGTCGATTGCGGTGGTTTGAAAATGGACAGCCAAGGAAATCTTTATGTTTCGGATTATGTTAATAATGAAATAAGAAAATGGTCGAATGAGTTTGCTAAAGGAATTATTGTTGCTGGTGGCAATGGAAAAGGAAATCAACTGAATCAATTGAACTATCCGATTTATTTCTTTGTTGATAAAGATGAATCAATTTATGTCTCCGATCANATAGTTATACCTGATGTCGATTGCGGTGGTTTGAAAATGGACAACCAAGGAAATCTTTATGTTTCGGATTATGTTAATAATGAAATAAGAAAATGGTCGAATGAGTTTGCTAAAGGAATTATTGTTGCTGGTGGCAATGGAAAAGGAAATCAACTGAATCAATTGAACTATCCGATTTATTTCTTTGTTGATAAAGATGAATCAATTTATGTCTCCGATCACTTAAATCATCGTGTGATGAAATGGAGCAAGGACGCCAAAGAAGGTATTGTTGTCGCTGGTGGACAAGGGCAAGGAAATCTTCTAACACAATTGAAAGATTCAGCGGGTGTTGTAGTCGACAAATCGGATAATATCTATGTTGTTGATGCCGGTAATAATCGAGTCGTCCGTTGGTCGAAAGACTCGAAAAAAGGTGAAATTATTGTTGGCGGTAATGGAAAAGGTGATGCAGGCAATCAATTCGATTATCCTACGAGTTTAGCACTCGATCGACAGGGCAATTTATACGTTGCTGATTTTCGCAATCATCGAATTCAGAAATTTCTCACTAACAAGAACTAGTTTTATTTTGAAAATATGTCTTTTTTTGTATAGAATTCCGTTTATTTTGAATAACACATGTACACATCTATAATATCATTGATTATGCTTCTCAAATTATCCTTGGTTCTGATCCATATGCTGACTCCATTTCTGTGCATCATTAATGAGCGAGCACAGCTAGACATCGCTTTAATCACGTATAGAATTCAAATGTCACGCTCATGCGCTATCATCAGGAGCATTTTATTTCCAGGTCTATTCTACGATTGAACTATAGAATATAGAAATAGCATGTCTAATGAAAGATTTTATTTCAGAAATGGCAAAATCCATTGCAACTAATGACACTATCGATTCTTCAGCGTTAGAAACTCCGTTCACTCGAAGAGTAAAGTTCAGCTTTTTGGTCAGTTGTCAAGTTCCTTCTGCTCTCTGTAGTTTGACTATATTTTATTACTTTATTCGTTTGTCGGAATTACGCGCCAAAAAACATAATCATGCGTAAGTATTTTTGTTATTGACATCAACTCACCAGAACTGATCATGATTGATTTTATAGTATAATATGTTTACTGTTTTGTAATTTCTTGATTGTTACCGTTGAATTACCGATTACACTCGTTTATCTTTATTTTGGTCAACTTACTCCAGCTGTTTACTCGCTTTGCATCTACTGGGTATTTGTCAACTTTTTTCTTTACACGACCAGTTTCTGGATGATGGCAGTAACATCCATCCAACGATATTTATTCATTTTCCATCGAAATCTCGTAAACTCCCATTTTAAACATTATACTCCGCTCGCTCTACCGACCATTTCTTATGGTATCTGGTACACGGTATTCATTTTTTTCTATCCATGTCAACAAGATTTTGATTATACTCAGTTGTGGTGCATGGGTGCATGTTACGCTTATGAAGATGTAATTGGAACAGTCGATTGGATATTGAGCTCGGTTATACCTATTCTAACTACTATCGTTATCAACGTTCTTCTCATCATACGAGTCGTTTATCAAAAATATAAGATTCAACATATTCATACATGGCGCATTACTCGTAAACTCGTCAGTCAATTACTCTCCATTTCTCTTCTTTTTCTCAGCATCTATTTACCCATAACACTTTTCGCATTGATTCGTCTCTGGATTGACCCATCCTTTCTGGTCACTGAGAATGCACTTTACTTTTTGTACGTCGGATACCTCGTACCATTATTGATGCCATTCATTTGTTTAATCAGCTTACCAGAAATCGTGAAGAAGATCAAGACTGCATGTTTCTGTAACAATGCAATAAATCCACAACAACAACAACAACAAATTCCAATGTCGATAGTCAGACGGCATCATATATAGTTTTGCTCTCATGAAAATAAACCATTCGGGTGTACAATGTAAGATAAACTGTTAGTACGGTGTTATTTGGTTTTTTGATTGCCAAAAAAGTAGTTGTTCCTTCGCTTTTTGACGGAAACGTTTTGATGATATCAAAAATGTATAGCAACTTCCCTACAACCAACAATATATAATTCAGATATGTGAAATTATTCAACAGAAGATTGATTTTCACATACCGCATTGTAAAAGTAAGTCACCAATGAAAGAATCGAAGACGCTAAATACTCTTGAAATTGTCGATCATAATTTTTGACAATACTACTGGTGAGTAAGCTGTATGTTGTATAAATACCATATGGAAGTAAACTAATCGTAACAAGTATAACATGAATGAGAGTCATTCGGATTAGCTGACGGTCAACTTGTAGTTCAGCCAAGTTCATTGTTTGATGAATGTTATGATATGTTAACCATCCGAATATGATCATGATCAGAACGGGTATCACACAAATTACGCCGATTAGATAAAATAGTTGATAGATTCTATATCCAGCGCTCAGATTCAAGCAATTACTACTAATTGGTGAAATATCAAAGAATAGAAGAACAGGAATGCCATGCAAAAAGCTTAGAATGATAGCAATTATGATAATTCGATGAGCCCATCCTATATCACCGCATCTTCGAAGAGATGCATTTCTTGATGTTATGAAAAACTGATCGGCAGTAGCTAAACATGAACAACCTATAGATAGAACGGCAGGTACAACAATAAAGTATTGTCGCGCTTTGCACCACGCACTTGATCTATCCGTAACATTTATATTGTATCCAACGCCTAGAATGCGAAGTGTAACGTTGACTAATAGGTATAGAATGTTGTCGATTGAGCCAATAAGGAAATAAAATGTACAAGAAGTCGTGCGATAAGCACGTACTTTTGTAAAGATTAAAATATTGATTCCATTACCAATGACACCGGCAAACAGAAGGAAATAACCAACATAGAGCGTGAATTGTTGAGCATCGTACACTAATGACATGATCACTATATTGTTTTACTAACAACAGAAAATACATACATTTAGTACGTCGCAAGAAAACACAGTAGGGATCATTCTTTGTCACACAAATTTTCTACCTATACTTAGTTTGACATACTAACTGCAGTTGGCATTCTCAGTTCAGAAGTTCTGTTTAACGTGGATAAAGTTGTCAGGTTTTGACAGAGTCTTTCTGTCACAAACGCCAGATAATATGTATCAGAGGCTTCCGGAGCTAATAAAAAATGTGGAATATAGAGAATGTCAATTTGAGTAAAAAATTGTATCTGGTCGAAAGCTGACACTTTCTAGTTTATTTAATCAGAGAATGGCTGAAACGTGTATCGGTGTGCAGTCGAATATATTTTTTGTCGTCGTGTGTAGAAACGACAGGAGTGAAGATTAGAGTTAAATATTTAAAAACTGCTAGTATGGTCATAATCTAAAAGTGTCATCCGCAAAGATAGATAATTAAAATTTCTTTTCGTTGTCGCGCTTAGAAAATGCGTAAGAATAATTAATTCATAGTTTCATCAAGGAAAGAGAATCTGCTTTTATATCATATTCCAGTTACCGTAAATTTAACTTAGTGAGCTTTGATTTTGTTGTTTTACTCGTTGTCGAAAAGGTTTCGATGATATTAAGAATAATGCATAGCAACTTCCCTATAATGTTAAATATGAATGTAACTTATAAAAAAGATCTCAATGAATATACAGCTTAGTAGGGACATGATGTTAGCGAGAGAACAATGGAGGCAAAATATTCTTTCGACTATCGATCAGAATCTTTTACAATGCCACTAGTCACTATGCCATAAATATTGAAAATGCCGTATGGTAATAAACTAACAATAACAAGTCCAGGATGAATCCGCGTCATTCTGATTAACTGCCGGTCAAATCACGATACTCACTGGTATCACACAAATAATGCCAATTAAGTACAACAATCGGTAGACTTCGTAGTTAACATTCAAATTCATATATAATGTTAGTAACAGACGAAAGATCAAAGAATTTGAAAACAGGAATTCCATGAATGCACCAAATAATAAAAACAATGACCACAATTCTATATGGCCATATTATTTGACTACAATGCTGGAGACACTCTCTACTAAATGTGATCAGACACTGATCGATGGTGGCCAGACAAAAAATCGTCACGGAACTTATCGCATGCCGAGCTAGGAAATGTTGTTGTATTGTGCATAAAAACCAGTTTCTTTCAGATAGATGTTAGATTAGGATTGAGTAAGAACTTTTAAGGTAGAGAGAAATATGGATTTTAATATGCAAATTGGATGTTTTAAAATAAGTGCTTTTTGTATTACGACGATGGGCCGTGAAAACGGGTTATCAGAAATTGATCTCGACGAAAAATCTTGTCTACCAGACACTTTCAGAGCCAAGAGTACCCTAACTCGTTATATTTTCCAACAAGGACTTTGAATTATTTGAAAATATTTAGACAAAGATATACGTATTGATCAGTGCCAACAGTTAAGATTAGTTCTAAGTTCTTTTTCTTCAACATACAACACAATAAGGAGCCGAAGAAACATCAGCAGCTATTGGATTGTAAATATTGAAAATAGCGAAATTTTAATTTTGAAAGAAATGCATCAAACAGGTCATTTTTTATCTTATTTTCGGTAGCAGCAATACCTTCTCAGCTACATACGAAATGAATTTGCGTTCAAGAATCGCATCATCAGACTTCCTATTGTTGTGAATTGGATTACGACAACAGACGATTCTACATAAAAATTTCTTTATTGCAACTTTGTGAGTATGTGCTCGCAATGACTTATGATACTCCAATCATGTAAGTAGTGAGGCTTCACCCGGACAGAAAATGTACAAATGAAGTTGTAAGATATCATACGAAAATCCCAAAAATGGTTCTTTATAGAATTTTTATCATTGCTCGATTACAAGTTCTCAACAGATTTTATAGTCTAAGGTTTAACTTATCTACGAGTGCGTCCGGATGAAAAATACGTCGAGTTTTTCTGTATCAAATTTATCCAATGGAAGATTAATTATTCGTGCACTACAATGGTATCAGGTACTTTTTGTTTTACCTTTTTCCAATTCGGTATAAATTAAAAACACGGAGAATTTATTTATTAATGTAGAATTTTCGTGTCTCAGAAGAAGAGATTCAGATATGCAATTCGCGCGCACCTCTTTGCCTCCATATCAATCTCGGATTCAACATACGAATCCAAACAGAATGTCAATGACACAAGGACGGAGTATTCCGAACGCTTCATTTCCGTGGGTCAGTTGTTTATTGCTTACTATAGCTACTTATTTTGTTAGTGTTGTTATGGTTTTTTTCTTATAGCCCCAAAGTATGGACAGAAATAGCGATAATAACTGGGCACCAACGAATGACGAAGAATTGAAGAGAAAAAGAAGAAGAAATAGACGGTAATATTGACCATTTTGATATTTTCATCGTATTTATTAATTACCTAGAGCATGTATATTCCGTCGAGCTTGTTGCCTACTTTGCCTAAGCTTGATAGTCGTCTTTCTCTTATGTGCACTTGCAAGTATTTTGCTTGAATTGGATTTGTGTGAGTATTCTACGATTCTTTTCACACATTTCTAATCCTTATTCTATGAATGACAAAAGTAACGAAGACGAGCAGTACTTCATCGACGACTGTAACAAGTAAGTAAAAGCGTCATGGTCATCGAAAGAAAGTATTTTTTGTTCAATTATCTATAGCTGCTACAACGATCACAACGACGACTCAAACTACAACCAGCACCACCTCATCTTCTACGAGCACCTCGAGTTGTAAGTTATGAAACCGAAGCAGACGCACTGTGTATTGAGAAAAATCTAAAACATCGGTTGTTCTCTAGCATCAACGACTAGCACTTCCAGCACTACTGCAACAACTAGCACAACGTCACAGACAACTTCCACCAGTTGTAATGTATCGTCTTGTCAAATCGTCACTTAGTAATTCTAGTTAATTCTAGCCACTTCGCAAACGACCACCACCTCGGTCACAGGTGCGTTCAGTGTCGCTTTTTCCTTTCTAAAATATCTAACTAGTGCTCATTTCTTATTCTTCTAGCAACATCAACAACTGGTAAAGTAACAGAAGAGAAGACAGCGTCTTTTTTTAATACAAATTCATTGTAGTATCTAAATGTGCGATGAGTGGCTTGGGTAGCCTTTTAACACAGAATGGACCGACCAATTGGTTTCAGTTTTCATACACGTATTTAGCAACGAGTACAGCGCCGACTCTTCGGTTTATATTCAATAATGGTCCAGCAGACTATTCCTACTTAGATGCCGTTTCCGTTACTGACAACAATAACGCATCGGTGGAATTACTTAGCAACCCTAGCTTTGAAAACTCAATACCATCGCCAGTTAGTTGGACTGTAACAAATTCGTCAACATGTCAGGGTAGCACTCAAGGGCTAGTAACCAATAGTGGTTGTCATTCAGGCTCCGGTAGTAATTGCTTCCTGGATCATTGTAAGAACGGTTATGAATATATATTTCAATCTTTTGCTGCAAATATTGGAGACTATTACAATGTTTCTTTTTGGGTCGATCAAGTGGGCGGAGCTGGATGTCTTTATGCTGATATCTTTTGAATTATTTCTACAAAACAAACCACGTTTTCACTTTTCAATTTTAATATAGAACTTCAAATATACAGTATACAAGATCTATGCATGTCTGTTTTCTAAACGTATATTGACAGCTTCTGGTGTAATGACGAATTTTTCTGTTAGAGTCATGCCTTCTTGGAATCTTGCACCAGGTTTAATTGTATACAAACGCAACAGATGTACTAAACACATTTTCAATTCCATCAGAGCAAACCGCATTCCTACACAATTCCGAGGTCCCATACCAAATGCTAGATAGGCAAGAGGATGACGCTTGACTGAATGTCGTTCGGGATCGAAAATATTTGGATCTTGCGGTCCCCAAAGATCAGCATTGTAATGAACAGAATAAACATCCGGCAGAATCACGCAACCTAAAGATAAATCATTTGTTCTTGACNATAGTTATACCTGATGTCGATTGCGGTGGTTTGAAAATGGACAGCCAAGGAAATCTTTATGTTTCGGATTATGTTAATAATGAAATAAGAAAATGGTCGAATGAGTTTGCTAAAGGAATTATTGTTGCTGGTGGCAATGGAAAAGGAAATCAACTGAATCAATTGAACTATCCGATTTATTTCTTTGTTGATAAAGATGAATCAATTTATGTCTCCGATCATTTAAATCATCGTGTGATGAAATGGAGCAAGAACGCCAAAGAAGGTATTGTTGTCGCTGGTGGACAAGGGCAAGGAAATCTTCTAACACAATTAAGAGATTCAGCGGGTATTGTAGTCGACAAATCGGATAACGTCTATATTGTTGATGCCGGTAATAATCGAGTCGTCCGGTGGTCGAAAGACTCGAAAAAAGGTGAAATTATTGTTGGTGGTAATGGAAAAGGTGAAGCAGCCAATCAATTCGATTATCCTACGAGTTTAGCACTCGATCGACAGGGCGATTTATACGTTGCTGATTTTCGCAATCATCGAATTCAGAAATTTCTCACTAATAAGAACTAATTTTATTTTGAAAATATGTATTTTTTTTTGTATAGAACTCCGTTTGTTTTGAATAACACATGTACACATCTATAATATCATTGATTATGCTTATCAAATCTGAAAATAGATGTTTTTTTTTTCAAACTACCCTTGGTGCTGATCCATATGCTGACTTCATTTCTGTGCATCATTAATGGGAGAGCACAGCTGGACATCGCTTTAATCATGTATAGAATTAAAATGTCACGTTCATTCGCTATCATCAGGAACATTGTATTTCCATGTCTATTCTATGATTGAACTATAGAATATAGAAATAACATGTCTAATGAAAGATTTTATTTCAGAAATGGCAAAATCCATTGCGACTAATGACACTATCGGTTCTTCAGCGTTAGAAACACCGTTCACTCGAAGAGTAAAGTTCAGCTTTTTGATCACTTGTCAAGTTCCTTCTGCTCTCTGTAGTTTGACTATATTTTATTACTTTATTCGTTTGTCGGAATTACGCGCCAAAAAACATAATCACGCGTAAGTATTTTTGTTATTGATATCAACTCATTAGAACTGAACATGATTGATTTTATAGTATAATATGTCTACTGTTTTGTAATTTCTTGGTTGTTACCGTTGAATTACCGATTACACTCGTTTATCTTTATTTTGGTCAACTTACTCCAGCTGTTTACTCGCTTTGCATCTACTGGGTATTTGTCAACTTTTTTCCTTACACGACCAGTTTCTGGATGATGGCAGTAACATCCATCCAACGATATTTATTCATTTTCCATCGGAATCTCGTAAATTCTCATCTTAAACATTATACTCCGCTCGCTCTACCGACCATTTCTTATGGTATCTGGTACACGGTATTCATTTTTTTCTATCCATGTCAACAACATGTTGATTATACTCAGTTGTGGTGCATGGGCGCATGTTATGCCTATGAAGATGTAATTGGAGCAGTCGATTGGATATTGAGCTCGGCTATACCTATTCTAACTACTATCGCTATCAACGATCTTCTCATCATACGAGTCGTTTACCAAAAATATAAGATTCAACATATTCATACATGGCGGATTACTCGTAAACTGGTCAGTCAATTACTCTCTATTTCTCTTCTTTTTCTCAGCATCTATTTACCCATAACACTTTTTGTATTGATTCGTCTCTGGATTGACCCATCCTTTCTGGTTACTGAGAATGCGCTTTACTTTTTGTACGCCGGGTACCTCGTACCATTATTGACGCCATTCATTTGTTTAATCAGCTTACCAGAAATCGTGAAGAAGATCAAGACTGCATGTTTTGGTAACAACGCAATAAATCTACAACAACAACAAATTCCAATGTTGATAGTCAGACGACATCATATATAGTTTTGCTCTCATGAAGATAAACCATTCGGACGTGCAATGTAAGATAAACTGTTAGTGCGGTGTTATTTGATTTTTTGATTGCCAAAAAAGTAGTTGTTCCTTCACTTTTTGACGAAAACGTTTTGATGACATAAAAAATGCATAACAACTTCCCTACAATCATCAGTGTAATTATTCAACAGAAGATTGATTCACATACCGCATTGTAAAAGTAAGTCACCAATGAAAGAATCGAAGAGGCTAAATATTCTTGAAACTGTCGATCATAATTTTTGACAATACTACTGGTGAGTAAGCTGTATGTCGTATAAATACCATATGGAAGTAAACTAATCGTAACAAGTATAACATGAATGAGAGTCATTCGAATTAGCTGACGGTCAACTTGTAGTTCAGCCAAGTTCATTGTTTGATGAATGTTATGATATGTTAACCATCCGAATATGATCATGATCAGAACGGGTATCAAACAAATTACGCCGATTAGATAAACTAGTTGATAGATTCTATATCCAGCGCTCAGATTCAAGCAATTATTACTAATTGGTGAAATATCGAAGAATAGAAGAACAGGAATGCCATGCAAAAAGCTTAGAATGATAGCTATTATGATAATTCGATGAGCCCATCCTATATCACCGCATCTTCGAAGAGAAGCATTTCTTGATGTTATGAAAAACTGATCGGCAGTGGCTAAACATGAACAACCTATAGATAGAACAGCAGGTACAACAATCAAGTATTGTCGCGCTTTGCACCACGCGCTTGATCTATCCGTAACATTTATATTGTATCCAACGCCTAGAATACGAAGTGTAACGTTGAATAATATGTATAGAATGTTGTCGATTGAACCAATAAGAAAATAAAATGTACAAGAAGTCGTGCGATAAACACGTACTTTTGTAAAGATTAAAATATTGATTCCATTACCAATGACACCGGCAAAAAGAAGGAAATAACCAACATAGAGCGTGAATTGTTGAGCATCGTACACTAATGACATGGTCACTATATTGATTTACTAACAATAAAAACTACATACATTTAGTACGTCGCAAAAAACACAGTAGGGATCGTTCCTTTTCACACATGTTTCTACTTATACTTACTTTGACATACTAACTTCAGTTGGCATTCTCAGTTCAGAAGTTCTGTTTAACGTGGATAAAGTTGTCAACTTTTGACAGAGTCTTTCTGTCACAAACGCCAGATGATAATGTATCAGAATCTTCCGGAACTAATAAAAAATGTGGAACGTAGAGTATGTCAATTTGAGTAAAAGATTGTATCTGGTCGATAATTGACACTTTCTAGTTTATTTAATCAGAGAATGGATGAAACATGTATCGATATGCAGTCGAATATATTTTTTGTCGTAGTTTGTAGAAACGACAGGAGTAAACATCAGAGTTAAATATTCAAAAATCTCATAAATATTTAAGAACTGCTAGTGATCATAATCTAAAAGTGTCATCCACAAAGATAGATAATTAAAATTTCTTTTCGTTGTCGTGCTTAGAAAATGCGTAAGAATAATTAATTCATAGTTTCATCAAGGAAAGTGAATCTGCTTTTATATCATATTCCAGTTGCCGTAAATTTAACTTGGTGAGATTTGATTTTGTTGTTTTACTCGTTGTCGGAAACGTTTTGATGATATTAACAATGCATAGCAACTTCCCTGTAATGTTAAATACCAATAAAACTTATAATAAAAATGTCAATGAACATACAGCTTAGTATAGATATGATGTCATCGAGAGAACAGAGGAGACAAAATTTAACTGCCGGTCAATCTGTATAGTTCGGCAAGCTTAATTCTTTGATGAATATTACGATATGCCAAACATCCAAATATGATCATGATACTCACCGGTATCGCATAAATAATGCCAATTAAGTACAACAATCGGTAGACTTCGTAGTTAGCATTCAAATTCATACATATGTTAGTAACAGGCGAAAGATCAAAGAATTTGAAAACAGGAATTCCATGAATGCACCAAATAATAAAAACAATGACCACAATTCGATATGGTCATATTATTTGACTACAATGTTGGAGATACTCCCTGCTGAATGTAATCAGATACTGATCGATGGTGACCAGACGAGAAATCGTCACGGAACTTATCGCATGCAAAATTAGGAAATACTGTTGTATTGTGCACCATGTACTTGAACAATTCAGTAGTATGTGAAAAACGTTAACTATTGAACCGACAAGAAAATAAAATGTACAAGGGCTGGTACGGTAGATAGACACTCGAGAGAATACTAAAATGTTAATTACAGTGCCGATAATACCGACGATAAGAAGGAAATAACTAGCGTAGATGGTAAATTGTTGAGCATCGTAGAGCAATGACATAACAATCGTATTCAAGTGAAAGACAATTAAGAATGGTGAATGATGACAAGCATTTCATCAGATTAACCAAATTCTGCTCTAGTTTTGTTTATAAAAACCAGTTTCTTTTAGATAGATGTTAAGTTAAACTGGCTGCTGTTAGATTAGGATTGAGTAGGAACTTCTAAAGTAGAGAGAAATATGGATTTTAATGTAAATTAGACGTTTTAAAATAAGTGCTTTTTGTATTACGACGACGGACCGTGAAAACGGGTTATCAGAAATTGATCTCGACGAAAAATCTTGTCTACCAGATACTTTCAGAGCTATGAGTACCCTAACTCATTGTATTTTCTAACAAGGACTTTGGTTTACTTGAAAATATTCAGACAAAGATATACGTATTGATCAGTCCCAACAGATAAGACTAGTTCGAAATTGTTTTTCTTGGACATACAACACAATAAGGAGCCGAAGAAACATCAGTAGCTATTGGATTGTAAATATTGAAAATAGCGAAATTTTAATTTTGAAAGAAATGCATCAAACAGGTCACCTTTGGTCTTATTGTCTGTAGTTGCAATACCTTCTCAGTTACATTCGAAATGAATTTGCATTCAAGAATCGCATCATCAGACTTCCTACTGTTGTCAACTAGATTACGAAAACAGACGATTCTACATAAAATTTTCTTTATTGCAACTTTGAGTATATGCTCGCAATGAATCATGATATTTCAATCATGTAAGTAGTAAGGCTTTCCCTTTGCATATAAAATATTTATTAGGAGTGAATTTGGTGAGGCTTCACTCGGGCAGAATATGTACAAATGAAATGTATTGTTTGAAAAAATACACATGAAGTTGTAAGATATTATACGAAAACCCCAAAATTGGTTCTTTACAGAATTTTTATCATTGTTCGATTACAGGTTCATAGCAGATTTTATAGTCCAAGGTTTAACTTATCTACGGATGCCTCCGGATGAAAAATACGTCGACATTTTCTGTATCAAATTTATCCAATGGAAGATTAATTATTCGTGCACTACAATGGTATCAGGTACTTTTTGTTTTACCTTTTTCCAATTCTGTATAAATTTAAAACACTGAGAATCTATTTATTAATGTAGAATTTTCGTGTCTCAGAAGAAGAGATTCAAACATGCAATTCGCGCGCACCTCTTTGTCTCTATATCAATCTCGGATTCAACATGCGAATCCAAACAGAATGTCCATGACACAAGGGCGAGATATTCCGAACGCTTCACTTCCGTGGGTCAGTTGTTTGGTGCTTACTGTAGTTACTCATTTTGTTAGTGTTGTTATGGTTTTTTCTTCTAGCCCAAAAGTATGGACAGAAATAGCGATGATACCTGGGCACCAACGAATGACGAAGAATTGAAAAGAAAACGAAGAAGAAATAGACGGTAATATTGATCACTTTACTATTTTCATCGTATTTATCAATTACCTAGATCATGTATATTCCGCCGAGCTTGTTGCCTACTTTGTGTGGGGTTGATAGTCGTTTTACTATTATGTGCACTTGCTAGTATTTTGCTTGAATTGGATTTATGTGAGTGCTCTCCTATTCTTTTCACACATTTCTAATCCTTATTCTATGAATGACAAAAGTAACGAAGACGAGCAGTACTTCATCGACGACAGTAACAAGTAAGTAAAAGCGTCAGGTTCATAGAAAGAAAGTCTTTTTTATTCAAATATCTATAGCTGCTACAACGACCACAACGACAACTCAAACTACAACCAGCACCAGTTCATCTTCTACGAGCACCTCGAGTTGTAAGTTATGAAACTGAAGCAGATGCACTGTGTATTGAAAAAAAATCTAAAATATCGGCTGTTCTCTAGCATCAACGACTAGCACTTCCAGCACTACTGCAACAACTAGCACAACTTCAAAGACAACCTCCACCAGTTGTAATGTATCACCTTGTCAAATCGTCACTTAGTAAATTCTAGTTGATTCTAGCCACTTCGCAAACGACCACTACCTCGGTCACAAGTGCGTTTAATGTCGCTTTTTCCTTTCTAAAATATCTAACTAGTGCTCATTTCCTATTCTTCTAGCAACATCAACAACTGGTAAAGTAACAAAAGGGTAGAAAGCGTCTTTTTTTATACAAATTCATTGTAGTATCTAAATGTGCGCAATCAGACTTTGGCTTTCTTTTAACACAGAGTGGACCGACCAGTTGGTTTCAATTTTCATACACGTATTTAGCAACGAGTTTAGCACCGACTCTTCGATTTATATTTGACAATGGCCCAGCAGATTGTTCTTTCCTGGATGGTGTTTCCGTTACTGATTACAAGAACTCATCTGTGGAGTTACTTAGCAACCCGAGCTTTGAAAACTCAATATCATCGCCAGTTAGTTGGACTGTAACAAATTCGTCAACGTGTCAGGGCAGCAGTCAAGGACGAATAATCAGTAGTGGTTGTCACTCAGGCTCGGGCAGTAATTGCTTCATGGATAATTGTACAAAGGGTTTTGAATATCTATTTCAATCTTTTACTGCCAATATTGGAGATTATTACAATGTTTCTTTTTGGTTAGAGCAAACAGGAGGTGGAGCTGGATGCCTTTATGCTGATATCTTTTGAATTATTTCCACAAAACAAATCACGTCTTCACTTTTTAATTTCAACATAGAACTTCAGATATACAGTATACAAGATCTATGTATGTCTGTTTTCTAAACGTATATTGACAGCTTCTGGTGTAATGATGAATTTTTCTGTTAGAGTCATGCCTTCTTGGAATTTTGCACCAGCTTTAACTGTATACAAACGCAACAGACGTACTAAGCACATTTTCAATTCCATCAGAGCAAACCGCATTCCCACACAATTTCGAGGTCCCATACCAAATGCTAGATAGGCAAGAGGATGACGCTTGATTGAATGTCGTTCGGGATCGAAAATATTTGGATCTTGCGGTCCCCAAAGATCAGCATTGTAATGAACAGAATAAACATCCGGCAGAATCACGCAACCTAAAGATAAATCATTTGTTCTTGACTGTATACGGTTTGATCAATATATTCACACTAACCTTTATCAATTTGATGACCACANTACCAAATGCTAGATAGGCAAGAGGATGACGCTTGACTGAATGTCGTTCGGGATCGAAAATATTTGGATCTTGCGGTCCCCAAAGATCAGCATTGTAATGAACAGAATAAACATCCGGCAGAATCACGCAACCTAAAGATAAATCATTTGTTCTTGACTCTATACGGTCTGCTCAATAGATTTACACTAACCTTTATCAATTTGATGACCACATATATTCACTGATGTATTACATTCTCGGGTTATCGCTTGACTCGATATGCCATACATCCGAAGAACTTCCCGTACGAACATATCCAAATATGTCATGTTGGCTACAGTATCATAGTCAAGCTTATCGATGCCATCCTCCCAAAGTTCGTCGATCTCCATTTGCAGTTTATCTTGAACATGCGGCGTTGTTGCGAGGGAAAATGTTGCAAATGCTAAAGTATTGGAGGTGGTTTCAAAGCCAGCGAGCATAAACACTAATATGTTGAGAACGACTTCATTGTAGTGTAGTTTCTTCGATGACAATTCTTCTGATGTATCATCCTGTTCGTACGCGATAGAATAAATCATGAAGAAAAAATCTCCTATGTCTCTTACCTTGATTTCTTCTTCAGTGGCTGCATCCAACATTAATTTAAGCAAATCAGTGCGCTTACTTTCGGAAGATAGCCGTTGCTTAAGAAGTTCTTCTAATCGTTCAATCAGCCAGGTTACAGGTAGGCCGTCATTTTCAGATAGCATATTTGATGACCATTTTTTAGTCGTTCTTTGAACAAATAGACCAAACTTGAAAATTTGAGTCAAGAATGGAATGAGAAATGGCATCACGTTCGATAATTTGACAATAGACAGTTTTTCTACATCGATATCAAAGCAAGCGATCGACTTTTTCATATAAATATTGTCTAAATCGTTTTGCATATCAGCGTCAATACCAAATGCACAACGACCTAGATCAACCTATTAGATTTCAGAACGATAGTCTATTAGAGCATAATACTTACATATAACATCCATAGTCATCCGTTTGTATAATGCATAGATATTGAAATCTGCGCCATTCATATCATTGACTTTCTTTATTAATGATTCAATGCATTGATTGATTAACGGTGTCATCATTTTCAGTTTTGCTGCTGAAAACGTCGGATTGATCACATGACGTTGGCGTCTCCACTGATCCGCTTGAGCGGAAAACAGATGGGCTTGATTGCCTTTTAAAATACGAGTGATAAAAGGTCGTCGACGCGAATGGAACGATGAAAATTGTTTAACAAAAACCTCCTGTAAGAAATCAACGTCAGATACAACATACACTGGACGTGTTCCTTCAAAAAGACCATAAATATTGCCATATTGATGTGTCCATTTTTGAAGTTGACGTGAATAGAATGGAACATTCCACAGTGTTAAATAATGACCGAAAAAGAATTGTGGTGATGGACCAGAAATGTTTCGGCGTTGAAAATAATCATAGGAAGACTTTATTTTGTATAAATAAGTAACGATCAAACAAATAGCAACAGTCAGTAGGATAATGGTGATAAACATTCTATACTATGCTTACACAATTCAACATATGTAGAGAAATAAAAGTGTCGATAAAAATGTATTCTATGCATTCCTTTTATTTGCGTTCTTTTCTTATCACAAAAAGTACGTTCGAAAGTGCGATCGCGAACGTACTTCAGCAAAACATTTGACATGTTTCTAATTTGAAGGTAGAATACAAAAAAAAAGAACTCCAAACACGCTTGACGTATGTGTAATATATTCGTCAATACAAAAATGATAAGCAACAAAATTAAGTTGGAAATTTGTCACTTTCTACCGTTAATAAAAACACAATTAAAAACGTCACATGACTGCGAATGCAAATATACTTTGTCAATTGATTTATTCGGAGAAAAAAAAGTCTTTCAAACACAAGGTCGATAGAAATTTCCATCGAGATTATCCGTAATTTTTCCTTTTGAAGTAATCGTTATAATCCATCGTTCAATCTGATCAGGTACTCGTAAATAGATTCGTCCTGTATACGAGGAATAAACTGTATCGTATTGTCCGTCTGCTTTTGTAAAGTATGCATTCAATTCATCAACTTTTGTGACATTCGGAAGCGTTAACACTCTTCCTAGATTCAATTGTACACAAATGATTGCTTCTGCTGTTGAATAATCACATTTTCGAGTAAAGAAGATGTCTTTTCGAAGATGCAAATAATCTTTGAATTGATTCGATGAATCTGATCCGTAAGGAAAACCGTTTTNGTACTAAGCACATTTTCAATTCCATCAGAGCAAACCGCATTCCCACACAATTTCGAGGTCCCATACCAAATGCTAGATAGGCAAGAGGATGACGCTTGATTGAATGTCGTTCGGGATCGAAAATATTTGGATCTTGCGGTCCCCAAAGATCAGCATTGTAATGAACAGAATAAACATCCGGCAGAATCACGCAACCTAAAGATAAATCATTTGTTCTTGACTGTATACGGTTTGATCAATATATTCACACTAACCTTTATCAATTTGATGACCACATATATTCACTGATGTATTACATTCTCGGGTTATCGCTTGACTCGATATGCCATACATCCGAAGAACTTCCCGTACGAACATATCCAAATATGTCATGTTGGCTACAGTATCATAGTCAAGCTTATCGATGTCATCCTCCCAAATTTCGTCGATCTCCATTTGTAGTTTGTCTTGAACATGCGGCGTTGTTGCGAGGGCAAATGTTGCAAATGCTAAAGTATTAGAGGTAGTTTCAAAGCCAGCGAGCATAAACAAGAATATGTTGAGAACGACTTCATTGTAGTGTAGTTTCTTCGATGACAGTTCTTCTGATGTATCATCCTGTTCGTACGCGATAGAATAAATCATGAACAAAAAATCTACTACGTCTCTTACCTTGATTTCTTCTTCTGTGGCCGCATCCAACATTAACTTAAGCAAATCAGTGCGCTTACTTTCGGAAGATAGCCTTTGCTTAAGAAGTTCTTCTAATCGTTCGATCAACCAGGTTGCAGGCAGACCGTCATTTTCAGGTAGCATATTTGATGACCATTTTTGAGTCGTTCTTTGAACAAATAGACCAAACTTGAAAATTTGAGTTAAAAATGGAATGAGAAATGGCATCACGTTCGATAATTTGACAATAGACAGTTTTTCTACATCGATTTCAAAGCAAGCAATCGACTTTTTCATATAGATATTGTCTAAATCGTTTTGCATATCAACGTCAATACCAAATGCACAACGACCTAGATCAACCTATTAGATTTCAGAAAGTTAGTATAGAACATTATACTTACATATAACATCCATAGTCATCCGTTTGTATAATGCATAGATATTGAAATCTGCGCCATTCATGTCATTGACTTTGTTCATGAATGATTCAATACATTGATTGATTAGCGGTGCCATCATTTTCAGTTTGGCTGCTGAAAACGTTGGATTGATCACATGACGTTGGCGTCTCCACTGATCCGCCTGAGCGGAAAACAGATGAGCTCGATTACCTTTTAAAATACGAGTGATAAAAGGTCGTCGACGCGAATGGAACGATGAAAATTGTTTAACAAAAACCTCTTGCAAGAAATCAACGTCAGATACAACATACACTGGACGTGTTCCTTCGAATAGACCATAGATGTTGCCATATTGCTGTGTCCATTTTTGAAGCTGACGTGAATAGAACGGAACATTCCACAGCGTTAAATAATGACCGAAAAAGAATTGTGGTGGTGGACCAGGAATATTTCGACGTCGAAAATAGTCATAGGAAGACTTTATTTTGTATAAATAAGTAACGATCAAGCAAATAGCAACACTCAGTAGAATAATGGTGATAAACATTCTATACTATGCTTACATAATTCAACATGTAGGAAAATAAAAATGTCGATAAAAATGTATTCTATGCATTCGTTTTATTTGCGTTCTTTTCTTATCACAAAAAGTACGTTCGAAAGTGCGAGCGCGAACGTACCTCAACAAAACATTTGACCTGTCACTAATTTGAAGATAGAATAGAAAGAAAAAGAACTTCAAACACGATTGACGTATGTGTAATATATTCATTAATCCAAAAATGCTAAGCAACGAAATCAAGTTGGAAATCTATCACTTCCTACCGTTGATAAAAACACAGTTAAAAACGTGACATGGTTACGAATGTCAATATACTTTGTCAATTGATTTATTCGAAGAAAAAGAGTCTTTCATACGCAAGGTCGATAGAAATTTCCATCGAGATTATCCGTAATTTTTCCTTTTGAAGTAATCGTTATAATCCATCGTTCAATCTGATCAGGTACTCGTAAATAGATTCGTTCTGTATACGAAGCATAAACTGTATCGTATTGTCCGTCTGCTTTTGTAAAGTATACATTCAATTCATCAACGTTTGTGACATTCGGAAGCGTTAACACTCTTCCTAGATTCAATTGTACACAAATGATTGCTTCTGCTGTTGAATAATCACATTTTCGAGCAAAGAAGATGTCTTTTCGTAGATGCAAATAATCTTTGAATGTATTTGATGGATCTGACCCGTAAGGAAAACCGTTTTGAGCAATAAGATATGCATCATCCGAGGTTGTTTGATAAAAGGCAATAAAGCACTTCTTTTCTGCATCGGTTAAGGCAGAAAAATCAGGAATGTTATGATGTTCAAGCGAATGATACAACAAATAATGATGAAGACTTTGACTTTGACAACTCATCTCTTGTTTACACCTTGAATGTCGAAAACCTTCCGAGTTTTCATCATTTAACAACGACTTATCAATAAAACGAAGATGTCGACGATGGGTTTTCTGTAACATTTTTGGTTCCGATACCACATTATAACTCCGACCTTTGCTATTTCGGTTATCGGTTGGGTTGTAATTCCACAGGCGAAAAAAATGGACGAACTCAACAATAACAACGATTATTGATGATACGATTGCAAAGCCGGCAATAACAGCATAAGCCGTGCATTGAGATTGAAAACGAGCTGAGCATGATGCACCAATGACGAAGCACATGAATCGTAAGATAAACGAAACAAGAATGATAAAAATTCGCATCAGCAAAATCATTTGTGGACGATTCTGATGAGCATCGAATCGAAAGCATGTCATGGTTCCCAATCGCCAACAAAATTCACCCGATGTTTTCAAGTTCATACTTGGTTGAACACAACAACGCATAATAAAATAAATAAAATTACAGAAAATGATTGGAATCGAACCGAGTAGATCAAAGATTAAGATTGGAATGAGAAAAGGCATTGTTTGAGAAACTTTCTTCGAAATGTCATTACAAACCAAGCTAAATCGAATGATAAAGAATATCAGATCGAAGATATGAAAAACAAACATAGTTTTGCATCGTGTTTTATCATTGTAACAATTAATCGGAGAGCGACAAATCGAAACCATGTTGTGTGTTCCTAGTCGATTCTCTGAAATTTTTANTAGATCAAAGATTAAGATTGGAATGAGAAAAGGCATTGTTTGAGAAACTTTCTTCGAAATGTCATTACAAACCAAGCTAAATCGAATGATAAAGAATATCAGATCGAAGATATGAAAAACAAACATAGTTTTGCATCGTGTTTTATCATTGTAACAATTAATCGGAGAGCGACAAATCGAAACCATGTTGTGTGTTCCTAGTCGATTCTCTGAAATTTTTACTTTCAAATAACTGCATTTTTCTTCTTCCGTCCGTTTCTATGGATTTCTCCAACTTGTTGTTAGTTTCTCTTTCGCTGCAAAAAAGAGAATTTTTGAGACATTTGCATTTTACATTTGACATAAAAATATTTAGTTGAATTCTCATGTGGCTGAAAGACGATCTGAAACGATTTCGTTATTTAGTAACGCTCCATACGATTTGCACAATATTTTTCATCATCCGTTTTATCGTGTTGTGCACAGACTTATCATCAGCTAAAAGCGATTCGATAAGTTTCTCAGTGATCATTCTATTAATCGAGTTGGGTTCGTCATTTCTAACATTTGTCGCCAATTTATGTTACGTCTCACTTCGTTATATTGGTCCGATTCTATTCGAATCTGATCGAGAACGAGTTGCTTGTTGCTCTCAAACATTCGCATGGAACTTCTCTACATTGACTTGCATTCGTTGTGAGTGTTATCTTGAACATCCTCAACTTGTTCTCTTGACACGCCTGTTCATCTTAATCCTTTTCGAAATCATGCGATTTGTTGCTTTCATTCTCGCTTGCGTCTGCGCTAATCGATACAGTCCGATTGGATTGGGTTATGCCATTCTTGCTGCATTTTCATTGGTTCCTGCGTTGATCCTATTACTTGTGGAATTCTTACATTATTATCGTTTGTGGTTTCATTATCGACCGGTTACGGCACAAAACAGAAAACCACAGTATGGTCAGCGTCATTTAGGTTTCTTACCACTATCAATAACCAATGATCAACAGACAAGTCATTGGCAGAATTCTCGTTGTGCCAAGGGCAACAATTGCACATCGAGAAATCTTTATCATGTCATTATGTATCATTCTGGTAATACGAGATATCCACCGGAGCAAACTGAAGACAATCAAACGGTCGTCGGTTTTCATCAAACTAGTCACAAATTTGCATCGTTGATTGCACAGGATAATTTGAGAGCGTCATCTGATGGCTGGATTGGGCCGGGAATATATTTCGCGACATCGCTGAACCACACAGAATTTAAAGCAAATCAATTTGGTGCATATATCTGTGCAAAAGTTAATCTGGGAAAAACCAAACGAATAACTGATCCCAAGGAATGGCGTTCTAAAGAGAAATATGATACGATTTACTACGCACATCCACTGGGTGCAGATGAATTTTGTGTGCACACACCGGCGCAGATCCACTCGTGGATTATTGTGATTAATCAGGATCCCAATGAACAATTGTTAAAAGAGAAAAATAATGAAAGATTAGAGTCAGGAAAATATGTAGAAGATTATGTAGAAGATCAAGTTTATAGAGGATGTCTATTTCAAGTTTGAAGAGTTTTTTTCTCGAATAAAATATGGAGAAACATTTGAGAGAATGTAATACGTATTTATTCGACGTTTATGTTTATTTCCAACAGCTTTCCTCAATGCATTATGTATTCGACTAATGAAACTTTGAAATCGTTGAAACTCATCGTATCGAGCGAATTTCCAGCTCAGATTGCTAGACAATGTGCATCTCGATTCTGTGTATTCCAATCGTGTAGGCATCATGATAGATTTCTGACTATGTGATACCGAAATTACATGTTTTTTGAAGTAATTACAATTCTGTTAGGTTTATATGGTGGATTAACACTTCTTCGTTTAATCGTTCTTTAGCACGTGACTTTCGATCATGCGATTTTTTTTCATTTAGGTGACGAAAGAATTGTGATGCACCGTTTCGACCATCCAAGTAAAATAACAATGAGAAGAAAACAAAATTTCTCCATGACGCCTTTTTTGTCAAAAAAGCTTGTACAGAACGAAAGAAAATGTTCACAGTCGATGAGTAGTTTGTATTTGCGAAGTTGTCAGCGTGTCGTAGAACTGATTAAATTTATTTTTTGTGCTCTTTCATTACACAAACAACTTCTTGCCGATCAGGCATACACAAGTGAAAGCAAAAATTTCTGAAGTTTCTTCTTCGAATGCCATCATTCGTCTTCCACTTCGTTGTTTTTGCTTTAATCTCTATCAAATATGGCTACAATTATCCAACTGGTGCACCGAATTATGCATGTCAAACGATGACACCTGGTCACGGATATGCTTCTCAAGCATGTTCATCAAACTATACAATTCAATCTGATAAGTTACAATACGATGTAAATGATGTTGTTCGTCGTAAGTTTGTTTGACTGTCAAAAGATCTTAGGTTCATTTGTTTTTGTTCGGTTTGATAGTGACCGTTAATAGCTCAGCTTCATTCAAAGGTGTTCTACTAGTGGCAAAAGCTGCAACAACCGGAGATATTGTTGGCACATGGGCCGTTGTGAGTTCCACGACGAGAATAGTGAATTGTAGTACAGTACCGAATACGGGTATTACACACAATTCGAGAGATTTGAAATCATCTGTTGAAGCACTTTGGTATCCGCCATCTACAACAACTAACACGAGTACTATCATACAGTAACATATCGTTAGCGTTTAGAATACAAAGTAATGACATAGTTTATATTTAGAGTAACAATTGTCGAATCATATAGTAACATATATGTGAGTTGTTACAATCTGACACTGACGCCTCGACAAGTAAAATTCATTCGATTGAAAACGGAACATGTTGTTGTGAAATTTCTGTTAGACGAATACAACAGCTTCCATGAATAGTACTTCCGCGACAGTGGCAAGTACTACCACGGTGACAACGACAGCAACAAGCACTGAGACCGTGACAACGACAAAGAGTATTTCTAGCGTTCAAATCTCTTGGACATATAACGACGGCGTAACAATCGTGAGAATGCGAATGAATGATTTGAAAACATCACAATGGTTTGCTTTAGGCCTTTCATTGGATCAAAATATGGTAGGAGCCAAAAATTTCTTTTATTGGAATGAAAATAACTTTGAATCTCTGCAGGGTGAAGATCATGTATTCATGTGCCGACACTTAGCTGATGGTTCAGTTTTACTTGATCGTCGTATAAATCCAAGTGGTCATTCACCGCCAGTATCAGCCAGCACGATATCCAATCCTGGTGGTACATTCAACGTAACTTTGCAAAAAGTTGAAGATGGAACGACTTATTGTGAATTTACTCTATCCAATTTTGTCACGTCTGGCCGTCGACGACGTGACATTGTTTCACTTTCACAAGCGACACCGTATTATCCATTGATCGCAATGGGAGATTTGGATAGTTCAAGTATGTTGTGATTTGTATAGAAAACGAAATTTCTTTACTCGACTCGATATAGATGAAATCATGCAACACAAATCACGTGAAGCACTAACGCAGACTGTTCAGCTGAATCGAGAAGAAACGATCATGAGTAACTTAGATTCAGATGATTCTGGTAAAAAAGTTCTAATGAAAGCGCATGGTATTATTATGATTTTTACATGGATATTGTTCGTTTCTACGGGTATTCTTCTTCCACGGTATTTCAAAGCTGCATGGCCAGGTACTAAAGTCTGTGGCAAACCCATTTGGTTTACTGTACATCGTGCGTTGATGACTAGTGTTCCTATCTTAACTCTGATCGCCTTTATTCTTATTCTTGTGTATGAAAACGGTAGATGGATATCCCGAAACGAGAAACGAGAATTTGCACACTCGATCGCTGGAATCATTGTAGTAGTTTTTTCCGTTATTCAACCATTTATGGCCTTATATCGTTGTAAACCTGATGCTCATTATCGTTTCATATTCAATCATATACATCGAATTGTTGGCTTTATTGCATTGATTCTTTCCATTGTTGCTATGTTTCTCGTCATGTTCTTTACACAATTCAGTTTTGAAAAGAACAAAATATGGGGCATCCTTATTGCTTGGATATGCTGGCTGCCAATTATATTTTTTCTCTTCTGGCTTATAGAGTATTGTTCTAAAAACAAACCATCAGCAGAAACCAAAACAACTGGCTTCTATGATATAACTACCGAGAATACAAACACACCCGACGATACATACAATAAAGCGCAAATAAAAATTGATCGAATTAAAGGAATACTTCTCTTCATTCATATTATAGTTGCTTTAGTGTTGGCATTAACATTGGCTATTTTTGTTGGTAAAACAGACTAAATAACTCTTTTATATTTCTACATCTCTGCATAACTTTAACAGCGTTTCGCACACTACTATTTTTTTGTCACTTATATATACGCTTAAGGTTGTGTACGACTAATATCGTACTCTGAATATATAAATAGTTGTTCAAACTAGAAGGGTGTCTTTTTTAAATGCATCACAGCCGCCAGGTACATGTGTGCCAATGAAAATGAAACACGCTGCTATTCTATACCATAATTCATGCTCTCCAAAATTGATTGGTCTTGGCTCTACATGTTCTTTACTGTTTGCCCTAGCCGTGATGTCCTGATTATTTGGATCGTTGCACCATGCAGTAAGACGGTTCAGAACTATCGGTAATGGAAATAAATGCAATGAGCGAAGGTTTTCATTGGAATGAAATCGCTCTGTTAGCTTCTTTGTTTGATCTGCAGTTACATAAAATGGATAGATTACATTTGAATGCTAATGAGAATGAAGGTAAAGAACGAGCTAGGGTGACTGCCCTCTGGCCACTGTGTTTGTCCAAATAAAATCTATTTTTCACCATCTGACTGAACAGTATCAACTAATAAATTGACTCGTTGACAGCCTGTAGGATTATACTTGAGTCTTCGATCTCTTTGTCTATTCGAATAGTAATTAGCGTAAATACCGTCTGCCGCAAAGTAAGAGTCGTTTTTATCTTTTAACTCTTTCTCTTTTTTGCGCGCAATCTCTTACTTCGTGCTGCGCAACACACGGGCTCAACCAGTAACAAGGATAGTTTGGACTCATCGATATTGGTAACCTACATTGGTTGCCGGTGTATATATATCGGTAGCATAGCATCTCGTTTATTCCCAGTACTTGTTATCAGTAGAGTGATTATTTTCTTCGAGTCATTCGTCATGTTACCCGATGAACTCGATGTGAGTGTTTTTATGGCC